CATACCATGGACTGCCAAAAGAACAAAGAAGTCTGTCTTGGAAGAAGTATAGCCAGAGTACTCCTTGGAAGTGAGGATGGTGAGACTTCTCATGTACGTTGGGCATGTTATCAGGAGGGGCCAGTCCCTGGAGAAGGACATCATGCTTGGTAAGGTAAGACCCTCAACGAGATGGATTGACACAGTGGCTGCAACAATGGGCTCATACATAACAGTGATTGTGAGGATGGGGCAGGACTGGCAAGTGTTTCGTTCTGTTGTACATAGGGTCGCTATGAGTTGGAACTGACTCAATGGCACCTAACAGCAACAACAATGACACCCTAAACTGAGGCACTTGGCCTAACTAAAATGGCTGACACAAGGTCTGGCTCAGACTCCATTTTGTCTTAAGCTCCCCTTCTGCTTCTGAGAAAGTGACTCATGACTACTGGTGGGTAAACCAGGGAAGAGCAGCTTCCCCTGGGGAAGAACACTTAGTATGGTTTAAATAGATTAACTGAAGAGCCCCAACAGGAGAGGGTCCGTCCTGTATTATCTTGCTAATCAAGTATCTTTTATGACACTTAACTGAATGTTTTCTGGTTTTGATCATTCAGGTCTCATGCCTCAGGCTACCTCTACTTTAGACTGTCTTGCAAAAATGTCAACCAGTAAGTGCTGTCAATCCTTAATCCAATATTCTAAAGAATATTTTTCACAGGCGAGAGAGTGATTTAGGAAATAATATTGGAGTTATTATTCCCTGTCCTTGAGCATAGAGAATGTGACCCAGCTGGAGCTGGGCTCACAAGGACTCAGAAGGACACATCAACTGGGCCCTGAGGTATAAAGACAATAGAAAAGATGCTCTTGGAAAATATCTTTTAGGGGAACTTTCACATAAAGCCAATCAAACAGAACACAAAAGACTTTCTACTCTTATCTTTTTCTATTAGCATTTAGTGAATAGAAATTGTTGGACCAATGAAGACCTTGACTGTCGTTACTGAAACCTGTACCAATGATTGTTAAGAAAGACGATTCAAAATGTTGGATCACAGTTTCTAGCCAATCTGTGAAAAGGTGAAGCTTTCAGTGGTTTTGCCCATTTGTAATGTTAATATATACTGATGGCTCTGTAACTGTTCTCTGGACTCCGGCAGACATGACAATGGCAGCATGCTTGTCCATTTTCCCACTTTTGTCTATTCTGTAATGGTTCCTTGGACTCGCACAGACATGGCTATGGCAGCATGTTTGTCTGTTTTCCCACTCTTGCCTATTCTGTAATATTCTTTGGATTCAGGCAGACATGGCTGGGCAGCATGCTTGTCTGCTTTTCCACTCTTGCCGATTCTGTAATATTCTTTGGACTCGGGGAGACATGGCTCTAGTAGCATGGTTGTCCGTTTCCTACTTTTGCCCCCTTGAATATATGCCGAATAAAACTTTCTTTTTGCTTTACTAAACTTTGTGATGTTTTTCCCCTAAAACAAGAAGCCTTTGACAAACAGAAACTAGACTCTCCTGCCTGCCTGATTTCACCCCAACAGATTATGTACACTGGAGGAGACATCAGTTAAAGGACTCATTAGAACTCCTCCGGAATGGACCGAACCTTGCCCTCATCACCAATCCGTATGCAGCTGAACTTTGGGAGGTGTTAAACCTTAGGTACGTTTCTCACAGCTTAAAGGAACTAAAGCATTCGTTTGGACTTGCCAATCATCTAGAAACTTAAAATTGAAGATTCTGCCCTAGTGGACAGAAGCAGGCAACTGTTACCAAAGTGGACAATGCAACTTTCCCAAGGTCAAGGAACAAGATCTCTCACCCATTCTGTCAAATGCAAGCCCCAGAGGTCGTTGGACTTTGTTAAAATCCTTATTGCTTTTGAGGTAGCTTTATGTTGACAACTTGGGTTTATCAACTGGTAAGAATTTTCCATACAGACTATCGATATATTTGCTATCTCTTTTCATATTCATTGCTTTCCTTATGCTGGTTGCTGTGTTATACACTGTTGGTATTATTCCGTATTCTCATACTATTCTTTTTCCAGGAAAATAAGAGAAATACTTATTGTCAGTTTAATCTTTTAGCTGCTATTTTGCTACTCACCCCATTATTTTACTAGAGTTGTTATTGGCTTGTGTTATAAACACTTGGTGACACCCTAACCCTCATCTCTTTCCTTGTTGCTATTCTTTTATTCCTCAGATTACCTATAGTGTCATTCACTACCTTAAGACCTTAAGCAGATACACCAAAAGGCAACCTGGCTTCATGTACTCCCTATGTCTGATTCATCTTTCCTTGACATCTTTAGCTTGTTACCTAAAGATGCTGGATCATGGTTTGATTTATATTATTTACTGGTCTACTAATCAAATGTTGTCAAACATTGTCTGATTACTCAGAACACCAATTTAATACCTATGAAGAGAATTATGTACTTAGATTTCAGATGGACTTCAGCTCACTCCTTAAACTAGCCCCTTTAAATCCAGGTTATTCCTTAATGCGGCCCACTCTATATGGCATTCCAAGGTTAACACTGCAGAAGTAGAGGCTCCAGTTATGGCATGGCAAAGATTTTAGATGATGCCCAGCTATTTATAAATAGTGTTTGGGGTCTTAAAGGCTTAGACTAGTAAGCAGCCATCTATAAGAGCCTCTGAAATACAGCAACAAAATAAAGTTCTCTTTCTTGAAACATATTCTAAAAATGCTGTCCTTCTGGGAGATATAAATCCAAATCCATGCAGAAAAAAGCACTCTCTCCAAAATGGCAGTTGGTAACGTGATCAAAGTTTTCTTAGAAATTCTTGATCAAAAGGAGGGAATGAATAAGAGCTTCAGAACAGAAGCACCTGGCATATTTAGGGTGGCTGGCCTAGGAGCAGGCCTGGCTCCATTTTGTTACAAGCTCCTGCTTCTGCATTCCTGCAAATGTAACTTTGACTTCTTCCCACTCACGTGCATATGGACTTGGGCCTTTGGCTGGGTGGAAACAACAATGTGGCTATGCCTGGGCAAGTCCAGGAAAGTCCAGGGAGGGTGAACCAATCAGAATCTTGCTGGAAGTTTCGTGATTCTACCCTATAACTGTCCCTGCAAAGCAGCTGTCACTTGGCTTTGCAGGTCTTCACTCTGTGTGGGCAAATGTCTCCCTTTTTGAATGTTTCCTATGCTTTCAATAAATCTCTTCGTTTACTTTAGCAGAGTCTGTGAGTTTCACTCTACAACAATCTCAAGATAGCAACGATTGTGAGGATGTTGCAGGGCCAGGCAATGTTTCGTTCTGTTGTTCATAGCATTGCTATGAGTCCGAACCTAACAACAACAACAAAAATCCCAGATAACAAAAACGAACAAAAAGAATCAAACCCATTGCTGCTGATTTTGACTCATAGTGACCCTATAGGACAGAGTAGAGACTGCCCCATAGGGTTTCCAAAATTGCCACAGCTCTGTCCTTCAGAGCAGCTGATGGGTTTGAACTGCCAACCTTTCAGTTAGCAGCTGAGCACTTTAACCACTGTGACACCAGGTCTCCTAATCCCAGATACACCAGCCAAAATAAGAATACCTCATGTGTTTTGTAGACTTTGTAGCTTATACAGGAGTCCCTGGGTGGCACAAATGGTGTTAAGTGCTCGATTATTAACCAAATGGTTGGTGATTTGAACCCACCTGGTGGCATGTTATGGAAACCCTGCTGGCATAGTGGTTAAGAGTTTGGCTGCTAACCAAAAGGTCAGCAGTTCAAATCCACCAGATGCTCCTTGGAAACCCTGTGGGGCAGTTCTACTGTGTCCTATAGGGTCACTACGAGTCAGAATCAACTGGACGGCAGTGGGTTTTTTTTGTTTTAGAGGCATGTTGGAAGAAAGGCCTGATGATCTGCTTCTGAAAGGTCACAATGGAGTGCACTTCTACTCTGCACATATGGGGTAGTGATGAGTTGGAATTGACTCGAGGGCAACTGGTTTGTTTTTGTTTTTTTTTTTGTAGCTTATACAACATACTCCCCTATAATTAACATTGTTTTCCCATGAAAGGTTATATGTCAAGCCCAAGGTTATACAGTTAGTAAATGGCTAAGGGAAAACTAAACGCAGGTCTTTTGAAGCCAGTCAACTTTCCAGAGGCAGTTATACAAGGAGAAAGGATGTGCTGACCAGCAAAGATCTCAGGATCCTGGAACTTTGGGCAGTTGTTTGAATCTTTTTTCATTCCTTCATTCAGGAGTCACAAGGCTCAGTCATTGCCTTCAAGAAGGCCACAGTCCAGTGCAGGCATTTTTCATCTAGTTCTGTGAAAGGCCCGTGCTTATCATATATACTTTTTAGTGTTTATGCACAAATGTGTATTTTTCTTGTTAACTTTCAAAAGGCTCTGTGACACCCACTCCCCACCTGCAAAAAGGTTAGGAACCACCGGTGTAACTCAGCAACCGATGTGCTCATCAGTCTCTCCTGCCTATTTGGGTGAGTAAGGCCCCAGCACATGACCACCTCTGGCCCAAGTGATAAACCTGGGTTTCTGGACCACATGACCTGACCAAGGCACAGCACCCGGGACAGCTCCTCTCAGCCACTGCTCTCAGAAGATCAAGTATGTAAAAACACACACACCCACACTCACGTCAACACCTTCAGCTCTAAAACTGCTCCTGACCCCAGGGAGACACTTTGATTTGTCCTTCCAGTACCGACCAAGCTGAGGGCTTTTTTGTGTTGTAGTCCCTGGGTGGTGCAAAGAGTAAATGCTGCTGATAACTGAAAGATTGGAGGTTTGAATCAACACAGAAAAAGGCCTGGTGATTCACTTCCAAAATTTAACCTCTGAAAACCCTATGGAGAAAGTTCTGTGTGACCAAGCTGAGGGCTTTTTTGTGTTGTAGTCCCTGGGTGGTGCAAAGAGTAAATGCTGCTGATAACTGAAAGGTTGGAGGTTTGAATCAACACAGAGAAAGGCCTGGTGATCCACTTCCAAAATTTAACCTCTGAAAGCCCTATGGAGAAAGTTCTGTGCGGCTCGTGGAGAACGCCTCTCACCTTGGCTGTTCAGTTGTTGCCATCAATCATGCTGTTGACTTTAAGGAAAAGAAACAGGAAATTGAAAATCCAGTAGCTGTTTCAGAACTCTTCACAACTTTGCCAATTGTATGGGGAAAATCAAGACCGATCAGAATTTTAACTAGACCGACAATTATCATTTCCGATCCCTCTCACTACAATGTTTTGAGAGCAGCTTCTTCAAGGGTCCGCCTGTATGATAGTGTTGCAGTTTTTCCAAAGACAGAAAAACTTTTTCATGCTGCTTACACACATTTAGATGTGGACCTATTCTTACTTCAAAAGAGCCCCCTATTACTGTGGCATTCCGGCCATTTTCTAGACGACTTTGCCTGGATAAACACACATAGATCCTGTGTTCTTGACTGGGAGGAGACAGTAGCACGTGATGCTAAGGACAAGTCCATGGAATGGACAGCAGTGCACAGTACATTATTGCTCACGTACCACAGCAATGGCAATTGACCGAGGCATAGGCTTTGAAATTGTCTATAGCCCTGCCATCAAAGACTCCACAATGAGAAGGTACACAATTTCCAATGCCCTCAATTTGATGCAGGTCTGCAAAGAAAAGGATGTAATTATATCCAGTGCTGTAGAAGGGCCTTTAGAAATAAGACGACCATATGATGTGGCAAACTTGGGGTTGCTGTTTGGGCTGTCTGAAAGCGATGCCAAGGCTGTGGTGTCCACCAACTCCAGAGCAACACTTACTTCTCCACAGAGACACTAGAAAAACTGCTTTTGAAATTGTCTCCAAAGTGAAGAAACCCCGGTCATCAGAAGGGGATGATGATTCTCTGCCAGCTTGCAAGAAAGCTAAGTGCAAGAGCTGAAAAGAATCCCCCAGCCAGTCTCCCTTCTGCCCTTTTACAGTTCATCAGCGATAATGCAAATAAAACCTTTGTATGGTTAAAACAACAACAAAAAACCTATGGGGCACAGTTCTACTGTGACATACATGGGGATGCCATGAGTCAGAATCGACTCGACAACTAGTTTTTTGGTCTGGTGTGTTCAGACACTATAGTGCCTACACTCTCATCTCTCTTAATCCCTACGACTGGTCTGTGACTTTAGGAACTGGCCCAAGGTCACACAGCCAGGAAGAGGTGGGCTTAATTATAAAAGGGCACCATGAGGGAAGCAGGGTGGGGTGGTATGAGGGAAGCTGCATGAGAACTGAAGTCCAAACTGCATTATGCTAACATCATTCCTCCCTTCATTCTTTCATCCTACAGATATTTCTTGAGCAACTTCTCTGTGCCAGGTATCTGTTGGGGATTGTGGTAGCCAGCCTCCAAGACGACCCCCATGATGCGTGTCCCCTGGTAACCACACCCTGTATAGTCCCCTCCCACACTGTAGGAGGGCTGGTCTGCCTGACGAACAGCATTCGATAGCAGAAGTGAACGCATGTCACTTCCAGCATTCGCTTATAAAATATTGTGGCTTCTGTTTTGGGTGCTCTATCACTCTCTTCCTCACCCTTTTATTTGGATCACTTGTTCTGGAAGAGCAAGCCCCAGGTTATGAGCAGCCCAGTAAGAGGCCCACGAGGCAAGGAACCGAAGCCTAAGGCCAAGAGCCAGTGAGGAAGTGAGACCATCAGCAACATGTGAGTAAGCTTGGACACAGGCGCTCCTGTCCCACTCAAGCCTTGGGATGACTCTGCAACCTTGTGAGGCCACCTGGACTGTAGAAACACGTGCAACAATGCTAGTTATTTTAAACTGCTAAATTTTGCACTGAATTTTTTTTTTTTTTAGAGAAATGTTGTGTTTAATGGTAGAACTTTAGCACACTCCAGCATGGGGCATGGGCTGGAGTTCATGCAGCAGGGACGGGTAGGTGACCCCACGGAGTCTCGCATGACAAAGAGGATGAGGAAGGTGACCATCAAACAGAAGAGCCCCATGGCCTCAGACAGAGCAAATTCCAGAATGGCATAGGAGAAGAGCTGCTGCTTGAGAGACGGGTTCCTGGCATAGCCAATGATCCAGCTGCCAAACACTGTCCCACTGCTGGCCCTTGAACCAGCCACACCAACAGTGGCAGCCCCAGCACTAATAAATTTGGCCACTGTGTCAACAACCTGGGAGACAACACTGGTCTGGAACCCCTGTCTGGTCACCTGGAGCGGGGAGCTGCTGTAGGAAAGCTGTTTAGATGGGGCCTCTGGACTAGTCATGAATGAGACCAGCCCAGGCCTGATTAGACCCCTGGTACAACAGGGTCAGAGCTCTTTAGTTTCCAGACAAAACTGCAAGGTAAAAGAAATGATGGAGGAGATGCAATTTGGAAGTAGAAATACTGAGATTTCAGAGGTCCTCCCATAATTCATGGGGATAATCAGGCGGAGGAATCTAACTGCAGTGCCCAGGTGTTCTGCACTTTTTTAGTCTCTCAAGCTTTACCTCCGGGTCTCCAAGTTTTTGGATGATTTGTTACACAGCAATAGATAACTCAGTCAGGGCTGTATCAGTAAACAAAACAGACAAATATCCCTGCTCACGTGGTTCTGACATTCTATGGAGAAGAGACAGACCATAAACAAAATAAGTAAGGAAAACACAAAGTATGTCAGGTAGTGGTAAATGCTATGGAGAAAAATAAAGCAGGGAGATGGGATGAGGGTGATGGGGGTTCAATTTAAAAAGGGTGGTCAGGGAAGGTCTCAGCAACAAGGGGTCATTTAGGCAAAGCCCTGAAGGGGGTGAGTGGGTGAGCCATGTAGATATCCCAGGGAAAGCAAGCCAGGCAGGGAGAACAGTAAGTGCAAAGTCCTGAGGTGGAAGTGTGTATGGGGCATGTGACCCAACCAGAGCATGCGTTTTGTATATTTTGCCACCAAACTTACTGTATTCCCTGGGCTTGGCTTTGGCCACCTTGTCATGCTGCTTACAGGAGGAAGGAGGCAGGGCGCTGACCCCTACTGCTTTCTTGTTCTCTTCCTACAAGGCCTGGGCCCTAGACCTTGGCTCTGTGGCACCATGCCTGGGGGTGCCCCTCCATGCTCTGAGGAGGTGGATGAAGCCGCAGTGACCACACTTTTCCAGCCCTCAGTTGGGCCAGGTGATCTGGGACAACTGCGAGGTGAGAAAAATGACAGAGGAGATGCAAGTTGGAAGCAGAAACACTCAAATTTCAGAGGTCCTCCCGTAATCATGGGGATAGAGGTAGAGGAATTGAACTTCAGCCTGGTTACTGTAGTTGTAAGCTATTCTTTGCAGCTTCCCTCTCTGGAGCAAGTGAAATACAAAGTGTATCTCCACAGGCGTCCCACCATAAAGTGTCAAAATAAAAACTTGACCTGCCAATTTTGCAGTGCACACCTGCCTTCTCTCCCAGAATCACATGTGCTGCTTATAAGTGACCCACAGGCCTGAGGACATCCTCTTCTTCCTCCTCCTCCCTTTCAATCCAAGGGTACCTGCCTTGTCCTCTAGTGACATCCCCAGAGTCCTCGGGGTTTCCCACCAGGAAGTCCATGGCCATAACAACCATATTTTCTAGATAAAAGGTCAGGATGGACAGACAGTACCACAAGCCTGAAGTTAGAGGACAACAGGACAGAACTCTGGAGCCTGGGCTTTCCTGGGAAATGGCAGTCACAAAGTAGCCAAATACCCCCCAAGAGACCCACACGTCCTGGAGGGGCAGAGGAATCATTCATTCATTCACTCATTCATTCAACAAATATTTCTCAAACACCAACTGTGTGCCAGGACTGGGAAACCACAATGAACAAGACAGCTGGCTGGGTCTGAGAAAGACACGTGCAAGGGTATGGTGCTTCTGGTGAACATAGGCAGGACGCTGTCCCAGTCCAAGAGGAGGACCGGGGAGGGCTGTCTATGTGTGGTGACATCAGGACAGGATTCCATAAGAAGTGACTCCTAAGCTGAGGCCTGCAGGATGAGTAGGATTCAGTCAGGTGAAGAAGAGAACAGTGTCTAGGCAGAGGGAGAGTTTGTGCAAAGGTCCTGTGGTGAGAGAGATGGTAGAAGGGGCAGAGGGTGAAGGGTCTTGCAAACTTCACCCCCGAGGACCATGGGGAGCCAGGGAGTGACACAGTCACATTTGCATTTTAAAAATGTCACTTTTGTTGTTGTTATTGATCCCCCTCCCCGCAAAACATGCCCTGGCACTCTCTCTCTGCATGGCCCTGTGGCTGAGCACACCCAGCTGAGGCAGGGGCCTTTGGGGAGATCACAGCCCAGGCCAGCCTAGTCCCCAGGATAGGGGGTGGTGATGATAGGCTCCCTATTCTCTGCACCCCACCCTGCCCAGCAGACTTTGGAGTCAGGTTCTGAGGGTTGCTATGTTGGGCTTTCGCGGGTAAGGGTTCCATTCTGCTCTGCCCACGATGGGCTGGCTTCTCCCCGGGATAGAGGGGTCAGTTGTATCACCAGGGTGGCAGGGCCTCCTCCCCAGAGCCATGGTGCCCAAGATAACAGGGCAGCCTGAGAGCTGTTTATGAAAAGGCAGTGGAGTGGGGGGTGGGCAAGGCCTGAGAGACTGGGGACTGCTGCCACAGATAGCAATTGGGGTGGGGAAGGCTGTCTAAATTACAGCTCCCGGAATAGAGGGGCCCGCAGGGAGTGGCGGGGCATCCTACCAAGGAAGCCCTGGCAGCTTGCCAGGCACGTCTGAGCTCTAGGCCCTGCCCCAGGCACAGGCAGGGTGACCACACGCCGGCCAGGCCACAGGGGACACCATTCATCCTTGGCCAAGGCAGCTGGGCAGCTGTGAGGTGGGGTGAGGTGGTGGCAGGAGGTTCCTGGCGGGTAGGGAAGCAGCACAGTGTGACCTTCTGGAAGGGGTAAGGGTGGTGAGGGAACGAAGGAGGGGGTGACATCTTGCCTGCCCCTGGAGGAGACTCTGTCACACATCCCTGTGGATATTTCATATAAGAAGTGTAAGATCTTGTAAAAATAACAAGAATAATAGCAATACGTGTAATAATAGCAGCAGTCAAGAAATCCAACCACACATTGCATTGGGCAAATCTGTTGCAAAAGGCCTGTTTAAAGTGTTAAAAAGCAAGGATGTCACTTTGAGGACTAAGGTATACCTGTCTCAAGCCATGGTATTTTCAATCTCCTCATATTCATGCGAACGCTGGACAATGAATGAGGAAGACCAAAGAAGGATTGACGTCTTTGAATTAAGGTGTTAGCAAAGAATACTGAATATATTATGGACTGCCAGAAGAATGAACAGATCTGTCTTGGAAGAAGTACAGCCAGAATGCTCCTTAGAATCAAGGATGGCGAGACTGTCTCATGTACTTTGGACATGTTATCAGGAAGGACCAGTCCCTGGAGAAGGACATCATGCTTGATAAAGTAGAGGGTCATTGAAACAGGAAGACCCTCAGTGAGATGGATTGACACAGTGGCTGCCACAATGGGCTCAAACATAGCAGCGACTGTGAGGTGGCACAGGACCGGGCAGTGTTTCGTTCTGTTGTACGTAGGGTTGCCATGGGTCAGAAATGACTCGACGGCACCGAATAACAACAACAATGTAATAATAGCAGCTGCATGTCAGGCACTGCTCTGAGCACTAACATACATCAGTTCACCTTCACAGCTCCTCATGATATAGGTATTATTACCACCATTTTATAGCTGAGGGAACTGAGGCTCAGAGAGGCCAAGTACCTGCCGAGTAGAGCTTGCTGTTGTCAATTGCCGTTGAGTCGATTCTGACTCCTGGCAATGGGAAACCTGGGCCCAGAGTCAGGGAATCTGGTTTGGAGCCCTTCGTCTCTCCGGGTCTCAGTTTTCTCATGTTGCTCTGTATCAACTTCCCAGAGGTGCTATGGGAA